AATCTACTATTTAGTCGAGTTTTATAAAGAATTAACGTATTCTTTGACGCTTAATGCACATCACGACGTGGCTTACTACATTTTTCTCACCAGATCAGCTTCTTTTTGATTGGGTTTTCAGTTGTTTTCTAATCCTAATTTTAGTCTGTCGACCGAGCACAGCATTGTCGTAGGTGTGATCTCGGCGTGTTCGGTTGGAATACGATCTGAGCAACAAGTAGAGCAGGTTACGCAATTCTTTCAGTAAAAAATCTTTTCTTGGCTAGAATATGTAATTACGAGAGGAAATATCTAAATATTTTTATATGTACCAAATGCGTTTCATGGCCTGGAACTAAGAAAGCACGCATAGGAATAGGAAAATCAATAAGTAAAGTGGGCGTATGGAAGCATTGAATCACTAATCCTAACATCATTGGTACGTGAGTTGCTAAAAAACTGTCCGGCTCAATAGTAAGAATGCTGGGATATCGATTTTGCTCGTGTCTTATTATCCTTGTGGTTGTAAAGAAAAGGATGGTACTCTAGGCGTTGATCAATCCATGAGGGATCGACATGATTCGACTTCATTGAGCATCGTCGGAGGTGACTGAATGCATGTCTGGGCTTTACAGCGACTCGCGGTGGCCTACTTATGCATCGAGCCACTGATACTGCCCTTCCAGACAAGTGTGGTACCAATTTGCCGACCTTGGAGGGATGGAGGGATCAGTGGGCCTGGGGCGCGAGGTCGATCCCGGGTGTATTGCAGGGCGCCTCCAACCACTGCGCTACACGCTCCCCTTGTGGTTGTATTTCATATAATACCCATCCGTAAAACAAGAATAGGCAGTAAATAAAAGTTAAAACATTGTGACATCCGGCCCAGTCTTTACAGATTTTTGTAATCTTCCTATTTCCCTTGTAAGATGAATTTCCGACCGGAACGCTAAGTATTTCCAGTTGAAACAACTGCAACGAAACGGCCTACACGCAGATGAATTTGGCGAATTCGATAAAATAATCGAGAAGACCGAAGAGAAACTCAACTGGATCAAGAAGCATTTCCGAAAACTTGCTGATTTTTTCGAAGATCAGACCACTAGTCGCTGACGTTCCTCTGATGATTACGGCTTATTTTCATGCTCAGTTTTAAACGCCTTATCATTAAACAATAGTGTTTATTTTTATCCATGTCTGACATTGATCGACAGGGCGATAGACTCTGTGTCGCTGCGGCGACCAATGTTGCCATATTACTCGGCGCCAATCGTTAGCCATAGAGTGCACGCGGCTAACGCTGTGCCGCTCCAGTAAGGGCGAGCCTAGCAGCATTAGTTCTTCTATAATATGCATACACTCCATCTCAATCTCTCACTGCTTGTGAGAGATCATATCTGTAATACTTACATACATATTTAATGGAAATGTATTGCACTGGGATTAAAACATCTATGGGTCGTAAGAAGTTAGATAGGGAAATTGTGATTTCCTTTCTTTATTTTAGTTCTCATTGTTCGTTATAGTTCCTTCACTGAATATTTTTTCTGGATGACCACCTCTCCTCCACCACAATCCATGATTTGGACTCAATTCCACTAACTATTTTGGAGTGTCTGTAGTATTCCTTCAAAGTGCTGTCCGCTATTAAGTTTTACCATTTCTCCATTAGCTATGATCCATTTTCACTTATTATTTCCCTTGTTTCCCAACGGAATAATCATATGTTTCGCTTTAAGTGAGACTTGTTTGTGATTAAATTTCTTAGTTCTGGTAGTGACTGCGAGTTAAGCCGCTTAATGGTTACAAGGAAGAAAGGATAAAACTATCAACATTTCTTGGCAATGGACTATGCAGTGGCCTCAATTCATACATCGCAGAAATAGCTGTGGGCATATTTAGCAGATAAAATGACTGCTGGACGCCTACCGATGATTCAAGTTAGTGTTTTTTTCATTCCAGTCAAAATCAGAACCATTTCACCGATCCCGGGGGGTTAAGAGCTCTCTTGTCCAGAGGGCGGGTTGGAATCAATGGTCATGTGGATCACAGGGCATCTCTAGTCGCTATATTACACACGCCGAGGTATTCCAATGTTCACAGTATTAATTAATCGCTCTATTTCTACCACCTCGTTTCACATATTGTCATGATCTCAGCAGTTCCTCCATTGAGTCCGTTATCTCGCATCTTGCGTCAACGAAGTGTTTGGATCTGAGTATGGGTTCGGATGCCGATACAAAGTTTTATTTTCTTCATGAACGAAATTAAATGCCGGTTGAAATGACAAAAGGATAAAGCTCTCGGTGTTGACCAATGCTTGAGTGACGCTCATGCATTCGACTCCGTTAAGCATCGTTAGAGGTGACTGAATGCATATCTGGCCTATGCCTTGACTCGCGGTGGCCTACCGATGTATCGAGTCAGTGCTGCCATCTTCCCAGACATGTCTGGTTCCAACTTTGCGACTCCGAAATGATGAAAGGCTTGGTGAACCTTGCGTGCCGGGATCAATCCCAATGAGTTAATACATCCTGGAATTCTGGGCTATTTTTTTTCCTATTTTTGGTGATCGCACGGAGCTTGTTCCAGAAAGGTCCATTACAAATTTGCAAGTCCCAATGAGATAGGAAACTTGGTTTAGATATTAACAAAACATGATCGAACCAGCGTGCGCACGTTTCTAACATGGTGTCTCTAGCCACTGTGCTTCCCTCGTATCGCAATATACTGTGAAGTCTCCAAAATTACTAATCAAGCAAGTTTTCTTGGAAATATGACCTCTTCTTGCTACTAACTAGCAAAATTTGCGAAAGACCTGTCCAAATCAATAGAAACTGCATGAGAATCTGTTGTTGACTTTCGAAGAACACATCAACTTTAGTGTTCTAAACAGTCCACATGCTTGTCATGTGAACTTTACATGCCCGTCACCCTCAGAAGTTGCGGTCAAAGGAAGAAGAGGAAACCCACTACTAAAAAAAACCAGGTAATATCTTATCAACCTTGAAAGTGGCTGTGTATGTTAGCAGCTTTGTCGCAAGTTCTCGCGAATAATCGGCATCATTAGGACAACTGTTGTTTTGTTCATCACTGTTAAAACTTGGGCGACAACATGACCTCTATAGAAATCACACGTAGGGCAAAGAGAATAACCGTTTTTAACTCTAGATAAACATAGCTCGGCTCATTGTTAAGATCACATGCACTGAAAACTACTTTTTTACATGACCCGTCTTTACGTCTGCAGTGCGAATCCCAGCATTTCTCACATCTTATTCGTTTCCACGCATCCATTGTCCAAGAGGATCTTCCAAGTTTTTACGTGTGGCTTCAGTTGCCGCTTGACGATTTTCATTTCATCTTGGATGTCGTAGAATGCTGGTGGAGTGGATTCTCGCTGGAGCCGTGAGAGAGCCGGGCTGAAGCGTTTCCAACTGGATTGCAGAGACTGATTTCTTTTTTCCAGACGAGTTCGTCACCAATTTTCCGATCCCGGAGGGATGAGAGGCTTGGTTGGTCCGGAGCGGAATCGAGCTAGCGAATCTTTATCTATAGGATAGAAGTTCTGTTTTTGTCATCACGAAATCTTGATTATCTGGAGCACATGAGATATAAATATTTAATATTTTTTAGATAAATAGTCTATTTTATTGCTTTAACCCATTTGCGACATTATGGACAATTTTTTACTAATTTATATTCTTTCGATAGATAATCGAAAGCAGATGAAAATATGAAACGCGAGACCTAAAAGCTCGTCTCTACGCTTAGTAGTTTACAATGAACTATTTCCGGACCGGTTCACTGAGCTGTAATTTGACTAACTAACTAATTCATTGTTATTTCATTTCAATGACTACGAATCGTCGTTATTGCATGGAATATTGAGTGTAAAAGTAAAAGATACTGAAGTAGACTTAACGTAAGCTGCGAAAGCCCTTCAGATGATGGAATAGGGTAAAACATAGTAAACAGTAGCATACATAGCATTCATAATAGGCCAAAGTCTCTCCTGTAATTACGTCATGTTCATATCCCCTAAAGCCTTTCATCTATTGAAAAATTATTCTTTACTGTCAAAAACCCAGAGAGTCAGTAGTCGACGAAAAATTGCTTGTGTCGTGAATGGGCTAACCCTCATACACTAAAGAAAAAGCGCATCAACGAGCTGGATTTGGTCCAGTAAAACACGAGGGCTTCCACAACGCATCATTTATTTCACAGCTATCGCTTTTAAATTCCGCTGTCATCCATTTGAAAAGATATAACGTACTTAAATTTGAAATACCAATGCATCAAAGCTGTGGGTGCAATTAATGCTTTAGGAGAAAGTCTTTTCTATATGCCCATAAAGGTTTGAACTCCTAAAATACTCAAACGATTGAGAATTTATCACTGGTCATCGCTGGCCAGCTTTATTGTTAAAGCGTTTAGTTGATTCATATGGTCCAGCTCCCTTCATCTCCACCCCCGTCAACCAAAAAACATCGATATCACACGATTTTTTATTGAACGGTCCAGATCCTGATCAACCATTCCAATGATTTAGTTGGAACATTTCACATTTCGGTAGCTGGCACGTTGTAGTTTTTGAACTTGGTCTTTGTTTCGTACCATATTATTAGTTCATCCAACACAACATTTTGTCTAAAAACCTCGAAATATGTAGCAACAACTAGTATCTTGTCCGATCTTACCATTTTACAATTGAAGAACATGCTAGCTAACAGACGAGATAACACTGCTTACTTTCCAGTTTCTAGCCGAAGCCACTGAGCCCAAGTGGTTGAATCCGACATGCTTGGCTATTTCACACATCAGTTCTTCCGGATCTAAGCTATGGATAGAAAAAATGGGTCATTACGTTCGCTGTACCACAGGGGTCTCATAAAGTACATATTGTATTGATGTGCGCAATGATGTATGTCCGGAAGAAATACAAGTTGTTACCACCGGACATTGTCATTATATCCACCATCAGCATCGTGTATAAAAAGGCATCACTGAGTGAGGATGCATCATTCGAGAAGATGGCTCACTGAGGAAGACCTGACTCGACACGAAGGCGAAGCTGCCACGTCGAGACGAATAACAAGCATGGACCATCGACTCGGATCATCGGCTCTGAGGAAGACGAAGACATCAAAACGTTAGCCGAAAATAAATAAATATCATTATCAACCTCGTGTAAGCTCATCAAAGAAAGAATACATACATGTTGTATTGAATCCATGTGTTCTGAAGATAAACTGGCTCCTCAAGAGGAATAAAAAGATAACGCTTCATAATAAACAGAAAGCTATGCAGAATTAAATCGCGGATTGTTTTCCATACGATTGGTTATGTTGCCATTTATTTGAATGTAATTATTGGATGATCTCATTACAAAACGAGCTGAACGTTAAATCTGGCAGCGAGTTCTTGTTCTCTAGGAATATCTCACTCATTATATCAATTCCCACATTTTCCTCCATTGTAATAAATGTAAGAGCGCGTGTGGGGCAGTGGTCGGAGGCGCCCTGCAACATACACCTGGAATTGATCCCCGCACCTATGGCCCACCAAGCCTTCAATCTCTCCTGGGTCGGCGAATAGGTACTAGACTTGTCTGCGAGGAGAGCAGCACTGGCTCAATCTGTAGGCCACCGATAAAGGCATGATCCTAATATACTGATTGAACTTTGGCTCTCACTGTTTTTGTTTTGTTTCAGCATACGACTACGCCATATACCTCAACCCGCCAAGAGAAAACTTGCGAGATTACAGGCTTTTCCTACGAACAATTTACTATTTACCGTCCAAATAAAAAATTTGCAGGTGACAACAACAATTATTTACAGAAAAATCTGTCCAGAAGGTAAAGCATAGACAAATTTGGTGAGGTATACAATTCAAGACGACATCAGAAGCTGATCGACGTTGTCAAGTGGATACACGGGAGCTGGTGGCCGATCCTTCTTCGTAGTATCTGAACTGATACAATCAATCATAAAAAGAAATATCACAAAGGAAACTGAGACAGAATTAAGTTGATAGTCTGCGTGACCACCTTTGTCGTTGTTGTAGTTGTCCTTTGAGGCTAATACAGTATCCATAAGATAGAAGAAAAAGATAAAAATTGATAGAAACCGCTCCAACATTCGAAACTGCAAAAATATAATGTCAAAACTGTTTTGAAGTTGGTGAGAAAAGAAAAAGGAAGATGTATAGGATATAGATTGATCGGAAATACAAACACATAAAATGGATAAAATGAGGCATGAATGTTATGAATGCCATGAAATCCTATCACGATATTACAACCACAATGAGATATCAGCAAAACTGAAGTAAACAGGCAGAGAGAGTTAAAGCGTTGTGATTTCGATTGGAGATTCTGTTTAACTCAGTGCAATGCCGATCCATACTCTCAAATCATTTGAGTTGATGGGTGATTGCTGATAACACCATTAGCAGGTAGACCAAAAAATGTCTGACAGAAAGGCAAACAAGGACCTCGGTGGTGCAGTGGGTGACATGTGAGCTGCCGGTAGGGTAATCGCGGGTTGGAAGCCCAGCTGAGGTTCCCAGATTCCTTATATCTCAGGTGTAAGAATAGTCAATGAAATGAACACGAAATGTACTCCTAAAAAACTCTTTAAAAAAGTAGAACTGAGTAGAACGAGAAATATTTGACATGGAACAGAGCACTATGTATCCATTGGACATGTGTCCATGTATCCAATGTGCTATTAGTACACAATGAAGGATAAATCACCATTTTTTTGAGGACAAACCTAGTTTCAAATTTCCAACGATGCTGACTCAATACGTTATGTTCAGTAAGAAGAAATAATGAATCCTGAAACAATCGGAGCGATAGGTTGATTTGCCAACCGATGAAGGCGTTCTCATGGTCAGAAAATGAAGGTGTTGAACGGCATTGCCATCACAGACAGCGTACGAGATCTCTTCGAATTACTTTAAATCTAATGTAACACTGACGGCCATTCAAGGTATTGATCGATTCACTCAGTGTTCAAAGATAATAGTTAAGGAATTACTGTCGAGGATTGTTACACTGCGAAAGCGTTTTCCATAAGAAAGCATTTCACTAGCTCCGACAACACTATTGCATTAGCTTGGAGCTTCAGCGTTCTCAACTTACCGAACTGAAGTCAGAAGGAAAGAATAAAGAGAGTTAACCAGAATCTTCAAATCTGAATAAATATGCTGGTAAACGATGAACAAATGGATAGGAGACTCAGAAGACACCATTATCTCTTAATAGTTACTGTTTGCCACATTGCCGTATAGATCTTATGTTAAATATTAACTACATACATTCCTGGCTTGAAAGCCCCATAGTCTTTGTCTGATTAACCTGTCTGTGTGAGCCGAACTTTTGCGTGAAGCCTTATTCAACGCCTTCTTGTAGTTACCATAGTACAATGAAAACATTTCTCCGCAAGAACCACTCGTCCTTGCTCGACACTTAAGGAGCACCATTTCCTCAACGTCTTATCCTCGTTTATTCACCTCTGCTACTGTCTTGTCGCTGTTTTCGTAGGCTTGAGATCTTGCTCTGTGGCAACGGTGAAAATCTCCCATGGCAAATTCGAATGAGGTTGACTATTGTATTCTATTTCGAGATGATCATTATTCGGCTCTGACACCTAACTCGAAGAACTATATTCCGCTGACCTAATCACCATAGTATGCTTAAGCATTTCGCGACCACTCCCATTGATTTAAACATGTACGCTGCTATATGTTTCGGACCGTACATTTTGATTCTAATGCGCATCTCAGATGAGCTCCAGTAAAACGCGGTACGATGGGAATGCCAGGCGAAAATGGCCGCGGTCGTGCAGGGGTTGAGCTTTTTGTATTACATCTGCTAATTGGTAAGCAATTTAAGTACTAATACAGGCATGTCAGGATCAATGCCGAAGTTAGTAAAAAGGCGGTCCTGGGAATTAGAACACAAAGTTGATCAAAGTTGCTTTTCTTCTAATATTAGACACAAGTTAGAAGAATATGGAAAAAATGTGAGGGAGCCGAACAATAGGATTACCGCAGCAGACCACTGTGCCTCCTGCGCAGGCTTCCAGATCGTACGTTTTGATTTCAATGGGCATTCCGATTGCACTCCAGTAACACACGGCCCGATGTGGCCGACGCATGAAAATGGCTGCGGTTGTGAAAGGGTCAAGTACCAGACTACCTCAAAGAAATTAACACAGTGTAGAAAACATCCGAACTCATGAAGTGAAAAGGGCGAGTAACTCTTTCTGTTCGCATATTTCAAACTCAATCCGATAATAACGGCGAGGAGTCGATGTTACCGCCTGCGAACTGCGCTAAAGCAAACATTCAGTACAAAAGTTTTCTGATAGTTCATTGACTACATGGATATTTTGAAGTGCTTAACTCGCGCTAACTTGTCACCTGTCACTCGCGCTAACTTGTACAACAAGAAAAGGAAGGAATGAAAAGGAACTTCAGTGGATGAGAGTGCCAGACCGACTAGAGGTTATGCTGGCATCGAAATGAAAGGCTTAACTAAAAATACAACAGGTTCGCGTGACTTGACCATACATCACTTGCAAGTGGTAATAACCATCCCAATAGTGAAAACAGTAGAGAATGGAACGCTTTGAACACTTTCATAACAGATTTCCACTCTTCGGTTTGGAAAAACTGATGGTGTGCGAAGGACCTTGAAGGATGCGCTATGCATTCGACTTCATTAAATATCGTTTGGAGATGATTGAACGCATATCTGTGCTTTACAATGACTCGCGGTGGCCTACCGATGTATCGAGCCAGTGCTGCTATCCTCCCAGACAAGTCTGGTACCAATTTACCGACCAGGGATGGATGGTGGACTTGGTGGGCCTTGGGCGCGGGAATCGATTCCACGTGTTGCAGGGCGCCACCGACCACTGCGCCATACGCACCCTTTTGGTATGCGAATAACGCTAAGGAAATGCTCAACCTGGAACGATGGAAAACAATGAAATAATCGAATATACTCCTATTTTCCGATTTAGAGCATTTGGTAAACATGTGGATATAATAGAAGCTGTACCATCTTTAAATTAAAGGGAAAACAAGAATTGTGTTAATTGATAAGAAGAAGCAGTTAGAAGAAAACTAACGGCTAAGATGCATTAAAAACGAAGAGGATAGCTGATAAATGATCCATACAAACAGATTAGAGCATTTCTCGGACGCAAACCTCATTTGATAACAGAATGGGAGCAGATGAACAGATGGGAGTAACGTAATTGACGTGGCATTCACGTGCAGTTCACCCGCCCACCAAGCAGATGCTGACCACGTGAGCCGCATGTGGTTGTGTGGTGGATGACTGTGTGTAGTTTTACAGATCGTTGTCAAGGCTAATTGTAGCAGCAAGGACAACACTGAAACTATTTTTACCTTAAGTTTAAAATAATTGTAGAACATAAATTCGACGTGTTACGTCATCCTTGTCAGGTGGCGTGAACGATTAGGAAGAAACCGTTTCCCTCCGTCACAATCTGTGTTCACACATGCCTCATCTTAGTACTAATTTCCTCATGCTTAATCTCTGCCTACTATTTTTCTGGATGGGATTTTTTCTCCTGGGATCTTGTGAGCGCTATGCTAGGGTGCCCATAATGTAGTCACTAAGGTATACTAAGGTATATCAATACTTTGAGGAAGCTATTATACTAAGAGGTGATGTCGTCGGTGTAAATGACAACCTGATACGTAGGAATAAACCTTTCCAGGATAAGACATAGATCGGTTCCTTATCAAAAAGTGGTTAAATTAAAAGTAAAAAGTCTTTTTAAATATTGATCATCCTAAAAGACTTCAAAATAGAAAACAAATCCTTTTACAAAGTGTCAAACTCAAAAACATTGCTTAACGCAACACGGACGGAACCGTGCTGTGCAGCGTGGGTTTCCAAATGGAATGTAGGCAATTCTTCGTGGAACGCGGTCTTCCTGTTTCCTGACAACAAAAAACGTTCTTCTCAATAATTAGTGTGTTTTAGGTTTTCTTAACATGACAGAATAGTAAGAGAGGCCTTGCTCTACCGTACTATAGGTGTGAATCATATGTATGCTACTATTTACTGTTTTTTTAAAAAAATAAACCACCTTCACGTCTACTGTGCGGATCCCAGCACTTTTCACATTCGATTCGTTTCCTCGCATCCATCATCCACGAAAAACTTTCAAGTTTTTACGTGTGGCTTCGGTTGAGGTGCGAGGATTTTCATTTCTAGTTGACTCCCCATAGAGTCCTAAGATAGTCGAGCTGGAGCGTTCCCATATAGGTTGTAGAGCGTGAATTTCCTCGGACAAGTCCGGTACCAATTTCCCGACCCGGAGGGATGAGAGACTTGATGGCCGATTTACTGTGTTAGTACGGTTTTTCTCGGTGTTTTTTATATCAGCCTATTCCATATAATGACCATAGTGTTTAAAATGAAACAACAGTTAATTGTTAGTCAAATTAGTGGTCAGTGAAGTTTTTCAAAAAAGATTTTTGCAAATAATTAAACCTATAGAACGGCCTTCCCAGACCTATCGCTATCATTTTGATCCGCTTTCGATTAGCTACCGAATAAACATATACAGTGCGATAAAAAAAAAATCTGGCACGCCCTAATCTGGAAATTGACACCATAGAGTCCATAGCGCCCGTATATTATGGGTTAAGAAGCTCGTGTTGACCCATCAACATACCACGTGTTTGTCACATGAATGGTGCATGCGCGCAATCTACAACACCTGCACGCAAAGAGATAGGAGAAAAACATGCTGATAGAAAACTCTGGTGATGCCTTATTAACTTCGAAATCGATTTTATGTGTCAGTCGTGTTATTATTAACACGAATCGACATGTCGCGATTCCAAAAGATCGTAGTCTCGTTATCTCCCAGCGTTGTAAATACTTTTCATGTACTTCTGAAACCCAAGGACTAGTGAGAACCGTAGAGAGCACTGTTATCGTAAGAAGCAGGAATCCCTCCTGTTACAGTTGTTTGGATGTGTTTGGTGTGTTTCCAATGACTTGTCAAAAACATTTTCATAGAGCACGTGGTTCAGTCTACTTCATAATATTTTTCCATTTCAAATGTTTTCGTGAACTCCAGGG